TTTTTTTTCACAGCTTTATCAATTCACGCTGTACATACGTTTCATTCAAGCTTTATATAAACGCTAATAAATGCACACACATTATGACGGCTCGTACAGAAGTGTATGCATATATTTATATACTTACGTACATATGTATGCCTGCCTGTATGCGCTTATTTAATAACCTTCATAAAACTTAACTGTAAGCTCGACAAATAAAATAATCGCGCACGCACGTGATTCCCACACACACACACACACTAATAAACTAACATTTTTACGTAAGTAGGTATGTATGTATATGTAAATTTAAGAAAGCAGCATGAAAATAAACGCATACAAAAAGGCCCTGCAGCAAATCAAACTAGTTCAGAACTTACGCTGAGCTAGCCTGAAAAGGGACGGTACTGGTTCTTCATCTATCCCAACTCAATGCTTGCAACTGTCTTTTTTAACATGGCGATGTCCTACGAAGTGACAATTGTCGCCCTCTGCAGAACTTTTGAACTTGTTCTGAGCTGACTCTGGCTTAGATGGTTCTGGTACAGTTCATATAACAACAGTTCTTAGATAGTTCAAAAAGGGTCACCTGCGGGCTAGAAAAAATGTGGTTAGTTTTGAGCTGGTTCTAATAAGTATAGTATAGAGCCTTTTCTTTAAATAAGCACGCATACAATTTTGTAAATAAAAATACTTCATTTTATGTTTAAAGAGCTATTTGTTTTAAACTAATTTACTTTTTAAAGCAAACTGTGTGTCAATTATTCCTTTATTTTCTAAAACCGTTATTCTTAAAAATAATTTATATTTGTTACGTATAATGGGTATTTCTGGGATACCTATAATTAAAAATCTGAACTAAGTCGTGTCAAAAAATGAGAAAAACGATGATATATTGAATGATTATTTGTGATAACTCAGCGTTAAATTGGATTAAATTTATTGAAATGTAATACATAGAATTTCCGGCATCTCATAAGAAATATAGAATTTTGAATATTTACAGTTTTCATGCTAAATATTTTTCGTAAATTTTTTATTTAAGGATGGCTCATAAGTATTATAACATAAACAAATAAATTCACGTTTCTAACTGTGTTGGAAATTTAGTAGAATTCTAGAAACTGTTATAAAAACTTCAATATTTTAAATCAGTTTATGAGTATGCAGTTCTATAGCCCATTAAATTTTAGTATAATTAATCGCGCTGATTTTTTATAACTCTTTTTACGCACGCTCTTGAAGGCATTCTCATATTTAAATATTTTTGTTTAAGATGCAAGATTATACTTTACTACACTAAAATTTGATGGGCTACAAAACAGAATACTCGAAATAGTTCTATCAAGTTTGCAGCACAGTAGACTGGGTCGGCCCCCATACAAAAAAAAAAAGTTGCTAATGTCCGCCCCTAAATTTAAAGATTATGTTG